AATCCCCAGGTTCGTTCCATTTCTCATCCCCTGCCTATCGCGCCAAGTCATCTCCCTTGGCACTTCAACGGACGGGTTTTGGGCATTGAGCGGCGGCGATGGCCACAAAGCACCCGCTTCACCTGCCCGGAGCCATGCCAGATCCTGGCCGTGGAGTCCCCAGCTCCTGAATGCGTTCAAGGCAACCAGCAAATTGTCCCATGCGCTCTCTCTATATAATATCTATCTATCTATCTATCTCCCTCTCTCTCTCCCTCCCTATCTCTCTCTCTCTCTCTTCCATTGCATCCAAAAGGTGACACACCGTGAGGCAACGCATACAGGCCTCTGCCATACTGATAGACCTACATATGTATATATATATATTCTTTACCTGGGCCCAATGTAATTAGTTGTTCGTGAATCTGAATGCCATATACATCTGCTGTTCGACGCAGCTTGCCCAAAAGCAAACCCACACGGAGTGAAGCAACTCGCTATGTGTTGTGTTCCATTATTGCAATGGTCCAAGTTGCGCACTCCCGCGCGAAATAGCATACTTTTGGTTTCAGGGGCTTGAATGGATAGCTCAACTCATTCCAGAGTTGTCCCGCTGGCATTTGCATGCACAAGGCCAAAACACACAATGCGGGATCAACACAGCCCACAAGTCGCATGGTTGCTTTTGGGGACGGCCTGATGCTTTCAAAGTACTGCCGCTTCTTGTTAAGTTCGCAGTCCAACGCTGCACTCATTTTGCTCCCACAACCAAGTCAAGCGAGTCAAGGTCCTGTGACCGCTACATTGCCATGCACCAGCACTGCAGATATGCCGCCGCTGTGACCAGCGAGGCAAACCTCAGGCAACAGCAGAGTCGGCATTTCTACAATGTCTCAAGCCTTTGCCAGAAACATGAGTCTCCCCATTTCATGCCTGCAAAATCATGTTGTTGCCGTCCAGGCTGCGCAATCAGCACGGCCGCCTTCAGACCTTGGGCTGGCAAGCAAAGAATCTTCCAGCCACGATGCCGTTGTCATCTCAAATTGCCCAGGCTCCTGTCTTAAAGCCTGACTCACCTTACTGACATGCCATGCAACGGGCTGATTCACAAAGGTAGGGCAACACATGTATTTAAGACTTGGAAACAGGGTTCTGGATGGCAGAAGCGTGTTTTAGAAGTGGCACTGCGGGTTGCAAACGTGCTTTATGGTATTGTCTTCATGTTTACAGGTTTGTTTTGGGCGCAAGCCTGTTATCAAAATCCGCATGTCCCTTGAAAGTGATTGGGAAAACGAAAAGGCCCAAAGGCCAGCTTTGGACAAGTTAGCTTTCGAAAGTCCGTGGCTTAGGGATATCGAGTTAATTAGCATGAGGCCGCTCAGCAACTGCCGCTATGCCACTCGCATAGCGCAGCTACGCTCGCTCAGTTGTTGGCAAGGGACAAGGGGTAAAACGAATTCAGAGCCAGCACATTGGTGTCTCGGCCGCTACTGGAAACAACCGTAAATAAATCTCAGCCAAGAGGCCCCTGCCTGAAATCAAGGACCGGGTGATCTCCTTCAAGGTTGCAGCCACATGCTGTCAATCTGAGATTCACAACACACCCTCAACGTGGCTGTTCGGCAAATCCCTCCTGTGAGCTTTCCTACCGCCGCCCTACCATTGCTGCCGCCGATGATAATCGTGGAGTGCTCCACTCCTGAGGGGCCCGAGACTGATTGAAGGTAGGGGAAAGCGGCCTGCCTGATCCCTGTTGCGTTAAAGATGTCAATCACACTAGAATAGGAAAGGCAGGTTAAAACCTTGGCTCATACATCGTCAATCATGAGGACTGGATTGCAATTGAGCCCCCGGCCCACAGCCGTCACGGAGCAATCATTGATGATCGTCTTCAATAGAACCCCTTCAGGCATGGCCACACTGTCCGTCAACCGCCACAAAGCATCGCAGCGTACGATTTTCGTTGTTTGGTGCATGTCAGATCAAAGAGAGTTGTGTGTGTGGTAGATATCAATGCTAAGCCAGTCACGCGTGACTCTCTCTATCTCTCTCTTTCTCTTCCCAATGCCTCTGGAGGCGTCCCATGCTTTTGCTGTGCAGTCGTAGGAGCCAGTGACGACCTGGGCCCTATTCTTACTCCAACAGGCGCTGTCACAACCCATTTGAATGATTCCTTGTTTTGAACGCTTTGCTGAGGTAAACCACTGAAGCCGTCGCCGCGTCTCCCCTTTCCCAATAAGGACAACAAACGCTGGCGCTGAGGAGCAGCCAATGATGCAATCAAAACTGCCTTTTGGCAGCAAGCTCAAAAGCAAAACCATTCATCCATGATTGGCGGCCCAGAAAGGCTGCTGCCGCCACTTGAAGCCCAGGTGCGATGTTCCCTTTCATGGCCACTGTGAGTACGGTATCCGTGTGTCCCGCCAGGAGCCTTGACTTGTGCCTTGTGCGCTCGGATCAGAAAAGAATACATGCACATGATCTCACTTCCTCAGTGGACCAAACAATAAGTCCATTGTCTACCCAACATGTTTTAATGCCCAAGAGCTCAGGGAGTGAGTGATTTGATATGACTCAAAGCTCAAAGCTCGATGGGATGCAGCCCGGAGCTTTGGTACACCTGCCGCTTCTTTCTGCTCACGTTACATTCCAGCAGTGTGCAGTGCCGAGAGGCTGGCAGCGAGGATCCCAAAGTTTCACGGTATGGTTGAAGGTAAACCTCAGCCGAAGGTCCATAGAGACAATCTCCATCTTCCAACAAACGGTGGCGAACACAACGAAGGTGATGTTGACCCTCACTCAAAGCAATGGCAATATATGGCAATCCAATCGGTCATGACAACTGAAGCACACGAAGAAAGAGTGCGTCGACAAAGAATAACCGCACAGACTCATGGCACGTCTTCCACACCAACATGTAGTGCTGCCAAGGTGCGGGTCCACTTCATAGGTTGCCACTTGTAATTGTGGCGGCTTTCCCAGGAAGGACTGAATCAAAGACCACCTTGGCAAAGATCCTCCAAACGGAGGGTGAAGGATCCACAGGCGATCCGTGGCGTTTTGTGCTGTGCAAGCAGCAAGGCCCCGTGTCTTGGCTTGCAGCGGGGCAGGGTGCATTTTGTGTGCAGGCGCTTGCTCTCACACCCCTATTTGCACTATTTCGGCGCACTCAACAAAACTTCAGCTTGCGCATCTTGTGTCCCTGTCCAACAGCAGAGGGGCAGTTCTTCTGAACCAAGCACCATGTGTAAACCAACGAGCATGCACGTCTACAAAGCCGATGCGCTGGCGGAGGTGTTGGCCGGTGACGAACATGTTTGAAGCTGCTATTGCGTGTAGGGTCTTGCCAAACCAGACTGCTAAAATCAAATTGAAGAGGTCCATAGGTGTCGGGAAACGGTGTCAAGTTTGCACAGGTCCTACACCGTCCATTTGAGAATTGCAACAAGCGCCGTTTCACAGGGACAAAAATCGGTCCACCATCTCGTAAGACAAATGTCCATGCCATTTCAGCCTTCCTGAGATTCGTTCAGGATGCGTCTTCAAGCGCAAGCGAAACTCACAAGACAAAATATGAACTTGCATTGCCTCTTTTCTTAGTGGCATTGCCGTTTCAAAACCTCAAAAGATCTCAAAAGTCTTCCTACAGCAACCCGCGTCGCACTCCGCAGCTTTGCAGCCAAAGTGCAGAACATGCAGTAGTGCATGCGACGTTTTCAGTAAGCTTTCCCGTGCATGCGGATAGGCCAGGCGCTGCAACAACTCTTCCACAAGTCTACGCCTGGGCGTATGCCCCAAAGCGCTCGGGAACCAGGGGGGGCCTCTTCCTTGCAACTTTAGCTTGTCAATCCCCAGTAGTGTGTGTCAAAAACGGGGTACCCCAAAAATGGTGTCTCACATTGCAGGAGTTTTGACCCATCCTTCGGGCCTCCATGGCACTCAGGCCACATCCGCCGATGCGGAGGAAACCAGGCGGTTCCCCGTTTCTTGGATTCCTCCAAAGCCACCCAAGGGAACCAGCTCAAAAAACAGAAACACCCAGAACACACTCATAGCAACCACCCTGGGCCCCGCCTCCCCTGTGGCCTGGCAAAGCACCGCGCCTGTGCAGCGCATTCTCTTTCAGGGGATGGACGCGTAGCGCGCAGAACTTGTATGGCAAAAGTGGCGGTGTGTGTGTGTGTCCTTAGGGAACCCCAGAAATTGAGTTGTTTTCCTCTGGGCATCCCTTTATGACAGACCCATATTGCGACGCCTCATTTGCAGAGCAGGATGGCGAATAGCTTTCGAAAGAAATGAGCTTTGCAAGTCTTCCAGATCCAGCTCAAACTTCTCAGCATCTTACCACGGCATGGCACCTGCTTCTCGGCCCCTTGCAGAAGGAAGATGAGGGGGAAGCAGTTCTGCGCAAGCAATCCCAGCACCATGGCCAATGCGACCTTTCCTCAAGTTGTAGGTCAGGCTTTTCCTAAGCTAGAACTTCCATGATCTTCCATGTGGCAAACCATTTCAGAGCGAAATTCTGCTCGCGCCCATGAGGTGTTGTCACAATCAATGTGCCAAAATTGGCTAGTGGTTGCCTGGACTATCTGCTATCTTGAAGGTGTGCACGCTTGGTGGCATGGTTGAAGATCACTGGCTGCTTAATTTGGGCCTGACTTGGTTTTGGCGCAAGTGTAAAAACATGACTCGCCATGTGTTGCACGCCTTGGCCTACAGAGCTGAAGTTTGCGGATGCAGGAAATTCGAAAGTACCAATCACTGGCTCACTACAGCTGGACTGTGGCATGCGCTCCGCCAAGAGCCGCGGCCGGTATTTCTTCTCCGCCAGTCGGGCAGTGATCAAGAGTTGTTTGCAGCCATACACGTACCTGGAATTTGGGATGAGAAAGGTTGCTCGCCACAAGAAGCTGGCAAGCAAATCTACTTGGCATCAACACGATCGACGGCAACGTGACACAGGTCTAATGGGCCATGTGGCCTGAACTTCCATAGGCCCTGCTGAAAACTCCGGCTCCCGCTCAGCGAGTCGCATTGTGCCGGGCCCACGGCCGCCTGAGGCAACTGCATGCTCAGCCGCGCAAGTTGCGTTGCGATGGCCTGTGACCTGGGCGAAGCGGCTTCCTTGCCAGGAGGAACCTCGAGCTTTGCGCTGGGGTGGCCCATGAAAGAAAGCCTTGGGCGCCGGCACGTTGACCGGATGCGTATCAGAGTCTCGGAGCAAGTCCTGGGACCCGGGTAGCGCCTTCACACCCAATCCCACAGCCAGTGATGCTCCTCAGTGCTCCAATACGAGGATCGCATGCCCATCAACTCCTGCAACGGCTATGGCTGGGACATCGACACGCTCGCTCCCTGTCTGAAGATAGCAAAGCGTATGCGAGGCATACGGCTCCCCTGCAGCGGCGGCCGCATTGCCGGGACTAAACTCGAGGAGGACCTGAAGCATGTCAGCAAGCCATGGACATACATGTATGGGACCCAAGCTTGGGCTAGCCTCCAACCCTGCCACCTCTGCAACTCTGCGCAGTCCGCGTGGCCTTCGGTGGCAAAGGCCAAGTCACAGGGACATTCAATACAGGGATGTATTCTGTTTAGCCCGGCTCTCTTTTGGTTTACCCATATTGAGTTGTTGAGTCCAGGGCGTGTAGCGGAAGAAGTCGTCAGGGCAGCCATGCACTCCTCGGGGCACTCAACATGTCAGGCGCCTGCGGTTGCTTCAAGGACCGGGCCATCAACGAAAGGAGCGCCAAGAAGCAGAAATCCACCTGAACAAGCAAACGGACGAGCAAGCAAACGCAGCATAAAAAGTCCTCATGTGCTCATGGCTCTCATGGGCAAAGCCTGCATGTAAAAGGCTGGCAATGCCCTTCATTGCCAAATGCGGGTCCTGAGTCTCAAGCTGCGCAAGCATTCAGGCAACCAAATGATGAAAATGAGGACGGCACTGGAACGTGTTCGAGCACAAACAAGCACACGACCTTAGGCGACGGTCTTTCCAAGTTTGCTCGTGGCCAAGTTTAGACGTTGTCCGCTCAGGCAAGTTCCAGTCCATAGTCGTTTGGCATCCACGACGGTGGATGGAGCACATCAAGGGACATCAGCCTTCAAAGAATTGCTGGCTTCCAGAGGCAGGTGGTCATGCGTGGCTGAGCATCATTTTGACCTGCCACTGTCACCTGTCCCATGCCGGCCTGGTGCCCTTGGCGTGGACCTTCATGTCCTCGAACAAGCCTGCTCTGCTGTCCGCATACTGCAGTATGTCAAAGCGGAAGCACAGCCGAGCGAAGGCTTTGATGATGTAAAACGGGGTATCCCACTCCAGGCACCTCCCCAAACTGCCGAAGGTTTCGGATGCAGGGCCCAGCAAGGTGCGAATGAGCCTCTTGGCTCTCCAGGTGAAGTTGGATGCCTGGAGCCGGCTGGACGCCAAGGGCTGTCCCTCAGGGATCAAAGCCTCCAGAGATTCCTCTGCCTCCTCGTCTACATCGAAGTGTACCCAGGAGTGGAAGCCCGTGCGGTCTGACTCCTTCCAATACTCATACCTGGGGCTAACTCCGACCTCCTGCAAAAACAAAGATATGTAGCTTTTAGTGGTTGAGAGGGAAAATGATGGAATGGAAGTCCACCAAGGCAAAAGGGCAACTGGTTGGAGGGGAAAATGAACACCAAAAAGGCAAAACTGTAAGTTGAGTTTGGCTAGGATACAACGGGTCGCCGGGAAAAAGCTCGAAGACCCTCGCCGGTAGGCGCCCAGTCTCGCCCAAGCCTGCCACCAGTCGTGAGGCCGCCTCTGGCGCGCAGGTGCCAGAGGTGCAGCGGACCTTCCGCTGCCAAAGCTCCCGCTGTGACGGCTCGAGGCCTTGAAGCTCCTTCACCCAAAAGAGAAATAAAAAGAGCTACTCGCTGGATCACCTTTTGGGTTGCCACAAAAGTGGAAATGGAAAAAGGAAAAGGCGAAAAGGTCGATTCGCTTTGGAGTGAGCCTTGGCCAAATGCGCCAACTCGGCATTGGAGAAGCCCGTGGCGTGCTGCAAGCCCGCCCACAGCTCTTCAGGAGAGCCAGCAGTAAGGATGGGCAACCACCAAGAGATGCGCATGGGCTGGCATCGGGGTTGGATGCCTATGGTGTTGCTGTTGAATGCCGGCCAGTCTGCAGGCAAACTTAACACAAAAGACTGTCGCAAACTCCAAGTTAACATGCCATTCTGGTCTTTTGGAACCATCACTGCAGTCTGCCTGAAGGGTGCACCACAGCGAAGATGAGCTGCAAATGACTTCTGCAGCCAGCAAGCTTCACAAATCAAAATGTCCCCGCTCCATTTCCTGCCACTTGTGATCCCATGCCGCAACCTGCTTGTAAAACATCCCCGAAAGAAACACCTACACTGGAATGCCAAGCGTGCTCAACCGCGACAGCTCAACCCTCCGTCTTGCCCCCCGGAAGTCGCCTAGAGAGTCCACCAGCTTCATCTCCTCGTCGAACCGCTCGCCCGGTCGGAAGCCTCGAGGTGTTGATAGCATGAATGGAGCCAAGGCCAGGCCAGGGTGCAAACAAAGGTCCCAACTTGGGGATCCTAGAGCCATGAACACCAGCTATCACCAGCTCCAAGTACTGTGGTCGTTTTCGATAAGTATTGTGCTCCTTTCCTGGCAGCAGCCAGGGACAGTTTGCAAAACACAAGTTTCATAGGGCTGACACGATGGCAGCGCTCGGGCCAATGGTCACGCGCAAAGCCACGTGGTTCAAATTTGCACCCTGCAAGCCGGATTTTTTTTGGAAGGTAAACTATAATTGGATACAGCCAAAAACTTGCCTGAAACGGACTATCAGATCTATCATGCCGATTGCTCTATCATATGCGGGATTTCTGCAATCCATTTGGTTCCTTCCCACCACTTGACTCGCAGCTCAATGCCTGTCACAGTTTGTGGCCCTGGCTTGTTCCCGAGATGGGCTTGATGCGCCCAAGCCAGTAGCCTGTGAGGCCAAATGGCAAACTTCTGCCCTGCGTCACCATAATGCGTGCGGCTTTGCGTCTTGCTTCCTCCCCTAATACGGAATAAGGCCACCCCTCTAGCAAGAACACTCGCCTGGGGTGGAGAAAGTCATTAAGAGGGTGTCATTTTCAGATGTTTCCTGAATTCTAACCGGACTGAATTTAGTTTAGAACTGGTTTGGTATTGGTTTAGCATTGGTTGTTAAGTGTCCAAATATTATATATATATATTCGGGAATTAGAAAAGGCGGGATTTATTTGGTCTAGAGTTGGTTTGGTGGGTCTGGGAAAAACATGTCTATTAACAGGGTACATTTGCAAATAGAACTAGCTAGGACGTGATCCGAGCAGCAAGACCGTCCCGCGCAGGATGCAGCCGGCAAATGCCAGCAAATCAGAGCAATCCTCCAAGCAAGTAACACTGCCTACTGTTGCCTGACTGCCTGACAGGTGTTGAGAGGAAACTGGGCAGCGAAACCAATGTACTGCACGACGCTGCACATCTTTGCCGCGGCAGGGCTGAAACATGCTGTCAACAGTGTCATCCTAGCCATCCTTGGCTCAACTTGGGGAGTCATGCCTCGGTCTTCTCGTTGAGCTCTACCTTCTCGATACGCCATGACCTGCATGGTTGGCCAAACTGAGTGTGGGCCCCATTCAGTGTGTTGATGAGGTGCATTCCACAAGAGCCAAACCTTGCAAGAATACGTGCTCGGAATGCGTATGCTGCATGTAGCGGATATCACGCTGGCCATCGGCAAAAACAGCGAAAAACAGCCCTCGGGCTCGGCACCACCCGACAAGGCGAACTATTCCCTCGCCTTCTTGGAGGCTTCCACCTCCATGTCCTGGCGCAAAGACGCCTCTGATTGACTCCAAGGCCCTCGCTTCACGAAAGGATCCAAGAGGTGGTCCCGAGAAGGCAATGTGTGCTAAAACATCCGGCCCATGTCATCCCGTCTGCTGCGCATGGCACTGCAACTCTGGCCGTGGCGATTCAAGTTATTGAACGCAAACATCACTTCAGGAGGCTGCGCCAGGCCCCCTCATGCTCAGCTCAAAACATTCCACACTACATCCCGTTAGGACGCTAACGTTGCTGCGAACTGAGATACGTAGAGTCGTTGCACTTTGGATGACTTCGGCCAAACAGTAGGCTAGTTGAGCAGGCTGAACTCTAACTCCCAGTTTGAGTATGTCGTTGTCCTCTATTGTCTCCTTTGACGACCACGCCTCCCATGTTTTTTGATGGGGGGGCCCTCTACTAATCACTACGCCACAGTATCGTGCTCCCACCAAAGCGGGCCTACTGCTGTTCTTTCTTGAGTAAACTCCTTGCCTTTCACAGCATGAGCGCTGTGCACTAGCAAACTTGTACACTCGTGACTGGGTGGGAACTTGCATTGATCGGCGACGATTGCTTGACTTTGACTTTGGAAGTCCAAGAGAATCGCGCATGCTAGTCCCTGGCTTGCACACACACATATACACAAACACACCCATCACAAACACACACACACACACAGATTATATACACACTAGTTCTCTCTCACAGGCATGCCCTTTCAACTGTGGTCCGCTTCGGGTTGTTGCTGGGGATAATTTTGGCCTTTTTAGGGCAATAGAAAGCCATGCCAAACACGTGTCGACTTACCCCAACTGCTGCATCCCAATGCCAACACGCAATGTCTCTGCTAGCCTTGCAGCTGCATGAAACAGTTGGTGGCCACACTAAACAACCCCAACCACAAACAGAAGCCAATTCGAAACCAGCAAACAACCAATACTCAACCAGTACCTAAGTCAACCTCGATACAAGCAAATGCTTCGCAAGTGTCGAAACCCTTAATGCTTCGATGAGAGCAAAGTGATGACCGAAGGCACGACTAGTGGCCCGGCCGGCCCCTCATAATGACATGCGTGACGGGCAGGATTTAGCTGGCAGCAGTGGAAGACTGGAGGGGACGTGAGAAAGCACGGTCATGGACAGCCCTGCATCTCAGCCATAAAAACACATGCCTCAACTACTCCTCAAGCAGTTAATGTAATGTAGATTACAATTGCCGTTTCAATCAAGAATCCATGCTCGAAAACGCAGTGCAACGGCCGGCCAAACAAACGAGCTATGAATTTCAGATCCAGCCAGCCCAGCCGATTCCAGGCTGGCAATCTGTTTGAGCACTTCTTCGAAAATGCGAAGCGCTCTAAGTTGGACCTTCAGTCTAGCCACTGAATAGCTGCAAAGGTTTGAGCTTTACCATCCACTTGCGCTTTGGAATGATCAAACATGTGTCTCGAAGGCTTGCCTGATCATTGAGGCCAAGCATGAACAAATGCCAGAAACCTTGTGGCGCCAGGAAGCAAACACACGTCACCAAATTAAAGCACATCCTAAATCAAAAATCCTCAATTCAGGAAAATACCGAACAACGATTCAATCACTCAAGGGACAGTAGACCTACGGCATGTGGCTGAATTGCAAACTAGCAAGCAAAGCCATCCTCTTGTTCAAACGCACATTTTATGGACTGCAGAGCTGCCAAGGGGACCCCAAGGGTGGGGTCCAAAGCCGTATCTTGTCAACACATAGTCCTTCAAACAACAACAGTGCAGGCTTGCTGAGGCAAGTAGGGCGCCCCGAATGCATAAACAAAACCCGTCTGCTCAGCCAAAGAACCCTGCAGCACTCCCGCTGAAAACTGCTATCCCGCAGTCCGTGAAGGGCACCCACCCAGGACCTAGGCAACGACCATGCCTAAAACCGAAAGTCGCAGCAATGCGCGCCAGAGCAAAGACCAGGGACACTGCTTTCTGGCAAAAACCCTTCATGTGGCCCGAATACGGCTTAAATAAGCCCCTAATGATTTCGCTTCGGGCCTATGGAATCGACTACCTCAGTCTTTGCCGGCTCGGGAAGGGCAAACTCGTTGGGCTTTGGTGAAACTCATGCCGGATGCTTCCGAATTGAATTTATTCCTCAGGGACCTTGGTCTGGATCGACACGGCGTGCCACTGAGCGATCTCTTCTCGGATGACTTCCTCACATGGTGCCAGTCTCAACCATCGGTACGAGCTTAAAGTGGTACTCTTCCAACACCTGCGAAGCCTTATCATTGCCGAGAAACGCGACCTCTCATTGAGCGCATTATATGGGCTCAGCACTCTCTCCACTTGGACAGCGTTCCGTCCAAACCACAACGAACTGGCCTAGCCCTGTAAAGAAGGCTTACAAGCCGCTCTGTTCAGAATGTTGCCTTAAAGGCCACGCTCCATAGACCATGGAAACGCCTCTGTTCTCCGAAATAAACTCTATGTTAACTAGCAAGTAAACTCGAGGGCTACTGCTTCCAGCTATAATATCCCCCATTCCTTTCAGCTCTTGTTCTGCCCATGAGCCAGCTATGTTCCTGGCTTTGGAGCCATCTGCACATAAACCCCAGAAACCGCCAGCCAGATGCTACTGCTCTTTGGTGCCTCGCCTGCACCATTCGCTGGCATTTGAGCTTCGTCTGTCCCCGGAACTTCTCCGACTCAATCTGGATGTTAAAGCTTTGCCCGCACCCGCCGGAGCGATCCTGCGGTTGGAGCCGGGGTTGATGCATTGGCTACTGCGAAGCCATTCGCAGGAGCATGCCCTTTCTCTCAACATGAGGTCTTCTCGCCTTGATAAGTGCTATCAACAATTATCAACAGGTTTCCATAGAACGGTAAGGCTGGCGGTTGTGTGAGGCACGTGGCACTGCCAGGCCAGCTTTCCAGCAATCATACTCCGTGCACAGCAGCCGCGTGAAGGGAAAGCTAGGTCGTTTCCAAGGGTTTCCCCTGTTCAAGGACGCATTTGGTACTCGGGATGGCGCCCCCAAAGTGCTACTGTAGGTTTTCCTTTGGCTTCCCTTTAAAACCAACCTCCTCAAAAAAAAACGAGCCCAGTCTCATTGGGCAACGGGTCCTCTACCACACAGTTGCTCGCTCCAAGGGCCTCTGTCAGCTTGCTGGTCACTGCGGCTTCAATGCCGCCTTCCGCGAAACCCCGCCAGCCCAGCGGCCGAAGCCGGCTGCGAAGTGCAAGCATCGCGGTGAGAGAATGGAGACTTTGAGGCTGAAATCGTGGGCGGGATGCAAAGCTTTGGTTCCTACAAACGAATCATTAACCTCTGCCAAAACATGCCAAACTATCTAGGCCTCTTCGGACGCCAGATGCGTTAAACACAACTTTGTTCTCAAAGGCACCCTGTTTGCCACAAGGCACCCTGTTTGCCACAGATCTCAACTGGTGTGGCACGTGAACGTCACTCATACAAGCAGCGACGCATGAGGAAGCCAAAGGAAGCTTCTGGATACTTGCCGGCGGGCGTGCATGCTAAGGCCGACACTTCGCAGCACCTGAACAGCTGCAGCCTTGAGACTCAGGGGTCTTCTCATGTACCCCAAAGCTCAGTAGCAGAACAGCTTTTGCTCGATTTTCGCTTTTTGTTTAAACAAAACGTGGGCATCATATGGTTTTTTGTGCCGCGGGTACACGCTTCGAGGTACATGACAATGATTGAGAGACGAGAGTTGGAATCAACATTCTGAGAAGCACCAGCAGCCCTGGTTAAGGCGTTCCCCCATCTCGTCTCCAACAACACATGTAATCATCAAACCACTGTGTGAGAAATGCAAGCTTCTCAGCCAAATGAGAAGAAGTCGCAGTCACAGCTGCCGACCTCGCAAGTTTGGACAATAATGCCATACTCTCACATAATTGTCAGAAGGCATCAAACAAATCAGCATGGCCCATACAGAGGTTCTAAACCTCGTGCTAAGGAATCGGCCGCGGCTTGGGCCAGCGTCTGTGGAAAGGTGAAGACCTGCGCCAGAGAGAGGGGCGAACATGCGAGTCAAAGTACATAAACCTGCCTTCTGCCATCCACTCAATCAAACCGACTCGGTCTTTAGAAACCCCTACCCGTCGCAACAAAACCTCAGCCGTGGAGAAAAAAACACGCCTGAGAAATTAAGGACTCGAGACAAGTGGGCCAGCATAAATGGCACAGGAGCATTTCTTTTCTGCGTGGCATGATTTAGTTGGAATGAGGGCTTGATTTGGAGGTTGATTAGGATGGACTTTGATGGAATTGCTGGGGCTAGGTAGGTGGACGCGAATTTGACAATGGCTGCTTGTCGCATGAAAGCTAGTATAGGAGCTATAGTTTAAGAAGTTAGGATGCGTTCAAGCTTGGCTTTGGGTGGTGTCTGTGTTCAGATTCAGGCCTCAGCTTCGAGCTTCGAAGGTGGGCTTCGGACACAGTTGCGTGGGTTCAATCGCTGGTTTGGGCTGGCATGAGCGTCCTGGTTGCGTAGAGGTGAATCTGAGATCAACCTTGGGCGCATTGGGCTGTGGCTGTGTTGAGGTAAGCTCGGTTTGGCGAAATTCGAGTTCTGTGAGCTATTCCGCTGGCTCAGGTTCGGCAAGGTGCAGGCGCAGGATGGGAAAGTGCTTGGCGAAGGACTGGTTTAGAGCGATGGCAAAGCAGCTTCTGGAGTCGGCGTAGGCTTGCTCTACTTTGGAGCTATGCATGGGTTTGTTCTGCCAGCTTTCTGGATCAATGTCAAGTGCTGTTCTTTTTAATCAGCACGGGTGAGCAAATGTATTCTGGTCGGCCTTTCGGTTTCAGGCCTCCCTTAGAGTCCCAAGCTGCGTGTGGGAGTTTCTCGAGGGCTTTGATGTGGCAGGAAACAGTTCAGCGTGGGTAGGCAATGGTCTGGTTCTACTTAATTTGCCTTGCGGCAGTTGTGGCTCAGCTATGGTTGGATTCATTTTGATTCAATGCTAAGTTTGATTTGGTGTCGCTTTTGTCACCCTATCGGCTTGCAGCGAAGAAGCACGCTGCGGCAGCTCCTGCTCGAACGTAGAAACGTTGTACCACAAGTGTATAGAGCACTTGCCATCATTGCCAGCTCGCAACATTTTAGCAAGCTAATACACAAGCAAGTACACTATTGGCATGGCGGCTACTGAGTTGGATATCGGTTGGCTATTCATTCCGTGTGGCTATCGGGTCGGGCGCTGCAACTTCATGGCTTGTAAGGGTATCTTCCCCCCCCCCGTTTGCAGCGTTCCAGACCTGCAACACAAGTTAATGAACGGGCTGTTACATGCTGAAAAGGAGCGCTTTTGCTTTTTTACCCAGGTGTTTCAGGGTCAATATTTCCCTGCCTGCCTGCCTGCTTGGACAAGTACGGAGGAAGCTACATTCATGGACTGCCAAAAGCAAAGAAACGCTGTGAAGCATAAAATCCGCCGGTGTGCTGGGCGAGCCTTCAGAAAGAAGTGACCACCGTCAAAGCCCTCGAACATGGTCAGGTCAATCTGGCAGCAATCAACGAGTCTGTTTAGGTTGGCCAGGGGGCGCACAAATAGCCAGTCCGTGGCAAACACTAATAGCATTTAGGCCCCTTTAGCATCCATAACTCCGCCTTGTCACCTTTGCTTGAAAACCTAAGGAGCGTTGACAACTAAATTCGCAACCTGTAGGCAGCTGCGGCCAGTGTTTGTGGGCAATATGCCGCAGCAGCTGCCAATACGCACTGAGATCTATCCTCACACGAGCGAACCGGGGCTCCCGCATCACAGTTGTAGGTGAGACTCAACTGGTCTCTGACCTCATCCGCTGAATCCAGCAATGCGCAGGAATTCGCTGCCCTACCAGTGTGTTTCTCAAATAGGGTCCCAAAAACAGGGGAAGGGAGTTTCTTTGGGTTTTCCCCTACGTGTACATAAGATCCAAAAGTAAGTAAATTACGTATATATCTATATTAGATAACTAGCAAACAAAATCAAATGGGTCTACCATATTGAGAAGCTCCCAGCTGAGTGTTGCGGCCTGTAAGCACTCAGGAACTCTGACAAGCCTACCAAAGGAAATGACGCAGGTACCCAGCGAGCACCCTCTTCCAGTGATCTCTTTCGGTTGGGAGCTCGAGTTGCCCTTGCACAGCGAATCTAGGCTCCACACTCGGCCCAAGAGCCGCGTGCTGAGACCTGACATCTGGCTCAAAGGCTGGTGGCGTGCCAAGTGAATCGAATGTTAGCTTCGGAATCTGGAGGACCAAGGGGCGGTCCGCTTGGACAAGGAAATTATGTTGCTCTATTTTGGGAGTTCCTCTAATGGGAGTTCCTCTAACTAGTCAGGTCCTCCGGATTAATCGATTTCAACATTATCTGACTGGCTGAGCCCTTGGATTGAGGATCTCGCACTCCATCATGAGCTCTGTAGCCTCATTTGCGCAGCAAACGCTTACACTCCAAGGGCGAGATGCAAACGGGAGCTTGGACAACTTGCAGGATCTTCGGGCTTGAAGTAGGCTTGACAAGTTCCGGGTGCTGATGAACTGCGCTACTGAAGTTTGCTGCTTCACTCCCCCTCTTCGTGCCACTTCTCTCTGTGCTCCCTGCTTTGACCGGATAAAGCGGGTGCCTAGGCGCAGCGGCACGGCGGCACGGCCCTCTCAAAAACCCGCCGGAACAACCAGCTGACGGACTACACGTGAGCTTACTTCGAGCTTGCGTTAGCGTCTCATCAGTTCTGTCGCAACTCTTTCGCTTGTTGAGTCGGGTGACCGAGCCTCTAAGCTCAAAAAGGGCCACTCATCTCATCTGTCACAGGGCCAGAGGTGGCCACAGCGGGGGACTCTGTCATAATCGTGGTCATGGCCCGTTCGGCCAAACAATGACAAGGCCTTCCCAACAATTGCCACTAACTATTCTAACACTCCCAAACCTCAGTGGCGGAATGACGTATACTTGCAGTGTTTTGCGCGGATCACGGGGAGTTTTGCCACAGTGCTGAAAGGCTGACTGCAGCTCCTGCACTTCATTGCACAGATTGGCACTTAAGGTACGCAACAACTGTCCTTGTTTGAAGGTCTTGCGTGCTGCTCGATTTCGCCACAAAAAAAAGCGTTTATCCAAGTAAAAAATAAACAAAACAAAAAGCACATCAAAAAAAGGGGGGAAACAAAAGAACGAGTAAGCGATGATTCAAGCTGCCGCCTCTTTTCGATAATTTAACAAATACGAGACCTGCTCTGTCACAGCTACCTTTGGCGGGCGCATCAAGGTGGCCACCCTGGTCTGCACCGATGATCCCAACTTCCTGGGTCTCGCTACCAATGCTTCAGATAGCTTCAGAGCTTCTGACAGCCGAAGTGTCCAAATGTTTGTGGAGTGTCCGTGAAAGCCTTGCAACCGTCAGGCTCTAGCCTGTGGCACGAGTTGGAGTCTGGCTCAAATGTCGGGCAGGCGAGTCAGAGTTTGGCGGGGCCCGCCGGTCTTGTCTTTCGCGGGTCGGGCCACTGGTGGTTTGTCACAACTGAATCTGGGGCGCTGGCTCAGCCGTCGTCGGGGCGTTGTGTGTTCGTTTCGCCCGTCACTGTCGCCGCTCAACTTTGTCGCGGCTTTTGGAGAGTCAAGGTCAGCTCTGTCACAGCTGTTGTGGTTAGGGCTTCGCGTGGCTTGATGTCACGTCCAACTAGAACACTACTTGCGCCTGTGAGGAACTCCGAAATCAAACTTCGGACTGTGACAGACTATAACAATCACAAAACCCGCCTGGTGGGGAAGAACAAAATAACTAGACACGCAACAGCAAACAACACATGGAGCTCGGATATCAATATTGTCTGCCAACTGTTGCGCATTGATGAGATGCTGGCTGATCTGCGCGAGGGCCCCAGGAGAAGTTCTTGTACCTGCAAGTGGCTCTTTGATTGAACAGTCTAAAATGTTTGAACTAGATTGCCCGTTTACGTGTCGTCCAGTCATTGAACACTTGCGCTGAAGTATGCCACGTAGTGAGCATACATGCATGCATATACCTTTACCTTCATGCAGGCTGGGCAACCATCGGCGCATGCGTGCCGTCAAAAGGCCAAATTGTTCTAACGTGTTTAGGGCATACAAAGACAGCAAACATGTCGATCAACATAAGGTGAATGTGACTCTTGTTTCGAGGAGTCCGTATGATGCAAACACCATGGACCTGGTAGCAGCTTTCAACTAGCGAGCGGCTGCGAACAACAGCACAGTCATGGCAATATACCAGCACGGGCGCTTTGCGGTGGTCTGCCAGGTCTCATCACCACCTCAGGACAACACGTGCCTTCACTATCCTTCATCTTGGTTCTGGCAAAGAGGTCAGCTTGTGAATATGAAGTGTGGGCGGAGCGGCTGAACTAGGTCAACGGCTGCGGCAAACGCAAGCAATCAAGCGTAAGCTACGGGTTGAAGCATTCAATGCCCTGCTCCCCAAAATGTACTTCGCCGGTGGGGCATACAGGCAATCCGGCCATGCCAGTGAAAGCCTGGATGCTGACAATTACCCAGGCCCTGGCGTCCCCAGTAGCCAGGAGCGATCCCACCTTGGGAATCCAAGGGAGGGGACTGACATGGTTGCCCACAATGACGGCATATGCGCGCTTTCAAGGAGAAGGGCAAAGCGACTCCATTTACAAAGCAATCAGAAACCGTTTTGAGATTTGTTCCCACTGCCGGAGGGCCCCATGCTTGGGTCCACATGCTGATCCTGGGCCCACGCCAACAAGCACCATGGCTCGTGCCTCATTGTCAGGAATGTGGACCTGGCTGGCTTGACTCAATTTAGCGAAGCTGTGAACAAAACAGTCATGTAGCACCAATACCAAATAAAGAGGCCGGAGCTGCACGGCCCTTCAGGCACCAGGGATGTCCTAAAATAAAGGAAATACAACAGTGAGGAAGTTAGGACCCCTCCGCTTTGAACAATGGCCATGCATGCCTGCAAAGGCAAGGAACCCCCAAAACACATGTGAAAGAGGTCGGTCATGGCTCGGAAAGAGCATTGAACATGGGCGAGTGACCTAGATCCAGGATTCACCGACCAACGTCACCATGATACGGCACTTGGGTAAACAACTCAGAAAAAGCTGCCCTGACTTGCACTAACTAGACACATTGCCAGCCCCTTTCACTTGCTGAGCAAGAACATCTTCAGGTGAGCAACCTACTACCTTTTGTGAATAGCATCGCAACACCGTCACGACAATTCAAGTCCCTCGTCCTAAGGCAAAGGCTCTTGAGCTCTTCTCCTTTGCCCCATCCTCTTCAGCCACGGCACCCTTTCGACGCCACCCGAATTCCCTAGAAATTTGCATTTTTCTATTGGAAACAATGGACAGAGAAAGGCACGGCTTTTCTGTAGGTGCCAGGCCCGAAGCTCGGTTCCTCGACCTGGCGCGCAACAGCCGACCCGACCGGCCGACATCTCGCCGAAGAGATGCAGCCCAGCAGCTGGAGGAGGAGGGCGTCGGCGTGGGAAAGGCCTGGCCCTCGGCACGAGGTCAATGTACCCCCCAACCAAAAATACAATTCATATCTTGACGGTGGAGACACGAAATGCAAAGGAGCAGGTAAGCAGGTGCAACCTGAGATGCTCTGCGCAAAGGCTACTTCAATGCTGCCTCTCCAATAGCACTGTTACTTAATGTTGCCAGGGGATAGAAAGACACACACACACACACACACACACACACACACGCTTGAACCTCGTACCTGGCCTTGTTCTGGGCAAGTTACAATGATTCACCAACCACATAAAGGACCAAGAAAGGAACCTTCACTTTAGATGACGTCCCACCCTCAGCTAGGTTGTTTCTTTGTCGGTGCTGAAGGCAACAAGCTGTGCCGGATCATCCGGTCCACTGGCTGGCTTGACAGGCACGACGCACACACGCTGGGCATCTCAAGTTTGAGTCATCCGTCACCTAGCTGATGCATTAGGGCCAGCATTGTCATGATCACAAACCTGCTGCTAAACAAACATACATGGCTCAGGAATCGAACTACTTGCCGATAGTTTTGCAATATGTACATGTCCTAAATGTCCCTGGAGTGAAA